ATCAATATTGGTTGCAAGGAAAGTTGCTGGATTTGGGATCAACAGGTGGCAACTCGTTACAGTACTCCTGAATTAATGAATGTTAACATAAATGCATATTAAAATGAGAGCATGGATGAGACATTTCATGTGTGTAATGATTTAATGCTTTTACTAATGGGAACAAAATACTTGCAGATTACTCGTCCTAACAGAGTAGTTATGTCTATACCTTAATCAGAAAATGAATCTTATGCCCTGAGTCTGTAATGAGTTGGTAGTGTTTGTCCAGTCGCTCATGTTGATTATCCAAGTACAGCAGAGATTCTTTTTTCCCATCTTTTCTTTCAAATACTGGGAAGACCCAAGACTTCATAATATTCTGAATTTCTTCAGTGTTGTCTTTGGTTTTCTGGATTGTTTGCTCAAGATTTCGAACACTGTTAACCATGTGTGAAATACAATCCCAAAGGCCTTCCAATAAAAGCAACAACAGAGAACATTTTAAGAAGTTAACAATGACAAGTCATCCAATCCATAAAACTGAGAAGGAAAAAATCATTTCTTGCTGAGCTCTTATCGAAGGGCCAGATGGCTTTCCCATTGGAAACAAATGAATTGCAAGAAAATGTTACTGAACATGAGCTGTTTTCCTCTACATAAATATAGCTTTTGCATGACTACAATATAATTTTGCCAAAGCAAAATTAATCTAATATAGAAGGCCTAAAACACAACTCTCATCATTATACAATCTTCAACATGTAATGTAAAAACATTACTGTTTTTAATTTTTGAAAGAGAATCTCACCCATCTATTCCATTCCAGCTACTCAAAAATGAATAGGTACCAGCATGACTTCCTATCCTCCAAATATTTCTTCATTATTTCTTCTCTTTCTAAGCTCCTGTATTCTTTTCCAGTGCCAAAGAGTCATCTTCCTTAACTGTTCAAAGTGGAAAATGAATTCCCCAACATTCAAGATAAGTTCACTCTTTATATTAGGTTGAAATGGACATAGCACTATAGACACCAGATGACTACAATACACAGAAGGATACCAGGAAGAAGAGAGAACAGGGTCCCCCCCCCCCCCAATTTGGAAATGTCCACATTCATCTGTAGAGGAGAAAAAGTGAGCAAGTAGAGCTTTCTGAAGAAGACCCAGCTTGGCTGAAAGAACAGGAATCACTTTATTCTTGCTACATGGGACTCCACAAGGAGAGCTTACCTTTTGTTTTCCAGTTTAATGTTTCTTCTGCTTCTTTCAACTGAATATCAATTGCATGCAGCTGACTCTGTATCAGTGGATATTCCACTTCTAGGACTGTACACAATATTTTGTTGTACCAAGTAACCATTAAATCCAAGTTGGCCACTAATTGCCTGAAGGATTCCCTAGAAGCATATATTTCTGCTGCTGTTTCTGGAATATTCCCGATCCGATCTTCTCCAAGGTAACTCACTTCTCTTAGAACTGACACCAGCTATAAAACCACACAGTAAAACAAACCTTTGAAATATTTTCATTAGAATCCTTTCTCTTCTAGAAAATATATATATATATATATATATTTCTTCTCTTCTCTCTCTGTATGTCTATGTAGAGTTTCAGTTAGAGAACTTCCTGAATAACCAAATAGGGACTCCGGGAGAAAAGAAAAGTTCCTTCTCAACTCAAAAATTTTAATTACAGACTATCTTTCGGATTGTCATCCCACCAATATGGGATATCTGTAAAATTCAGCCACAAGTCTTTCTACATAATTCCAGTTTTAATCTCAGAAACGTTTATCTAAATTACTAGGGAATAAGGAAAGTTTTGCTTTTATAGTCAAATTTTTGACAATAAAGTTGTATCAATTAACACTATGGTGGTTAACAGAGATTCCACTGAAGAAGCAACATGCTTCTGAATATGAAATACTGGGCATAAGGAATGGGTTTAAACAAAGTTATCTTCTTTCTGGCCTGTTTGGAGCTTGGATATGGCTGATCTGTGACCACTGGCAGAAAATTATGCTGGGCTTTTGCTCTAATTCAGAATACTTTTTCCTTTACATTTATCTCCTGTTCCATAAAATGTTTAATTTTGGATATGTGAATTAAATTCAAGCTCCACTGAATGGAATTGTGCAATGATGAGGACTCAAGATGTTGCTATTCTCTAGGAGTTTTTTTAGCCGTGTAGTTCTCTATCTCCTTGGGCAATAGCAGAGATTAATCCATGCTTGGATAGCTCCAAGCACTAGACTACTTCTCACTCTGCAAAACTGCACCTGCTTCTGCGAAAAGTTTTTGGAAGATCAACATTCTTTCTGGAAGATCAACATTCTTTCACCTTACCTGAGGGTCAAAATTGACTGTAATCAGTTTACTCTTTGAATCTCGTTGGATAAGTGGTTGATTGAGATTATACTGAGCTTTCACAGACACAGTCTGGAACCATTCCTCATACAGCTTCTCTTGATATCTGCCAGAAGACCAAGCAATCATGTAGGACTCTATACACTGCCAGACAACTGCCTGAGCCTGTTATTGGAAGAGACTTCCTGGCTACATTGCAAGCAAAGCTGAAGTGAAAAAATCTGTTAGTGTCAAAAGCAGCAGAGTCGGGGAGGGGGGGTGTTCTTGCCACGCTGTCCCCACTATCTAGAAGACCACTTTGTTTCTTCCTACAGAGTAATTTCTCCAAATTCAAACAACTGAATCACAAGATGAAGCAGTCATGTGACTATCATCAGCCCTTAGATAAATTATGCTTATCTAAGTTATGTAAATTAAACTCTGAAGATAAAATAGTGCTTCAGGAATCCATTAGCCTAAACTCTATAAAAGAAGAAGCAGGAGCATATCTAAAAGAATCTGGGACAGTGGCACTTAAGTCTGGAACAGAGGATGAAGTCCACCCAGGATGAACTCCACCCAGCAGTGTAAACAGTACACAAAGGTGCAAAGTCAAAATGTTAGCACATGAAGGGCCAGATGAGAGAGAATACGTTTTTAGGAGCAAAACATCTATTCATAAGTGAACCCTGTACAAATACCTGTTTTGCTCAGCTAAGGCTAGAAAAGGTGGTATCTGGTAGAGCAGAAAAGTATTTAACTTGCAATCCTGTAATAAATATTGCTACATTAGCTATTGTTTGTACCCTATGACCCTATGTATTCCAACCTTAACTTGGACCCCTGTAACTTAGCTTTGGTTATCTCCAGATGTTGCCCTAGATTCTGATTTGGCCAATTCACCCTGCCTGTTGTTTAACAATTACATTGGGTGTGCTTCCTGAGTCTTTATAATTAGCTTTAAGTCTTCTGTGAGCTTCCATGCAGCAGAACATAGTTGGTTTCACCCATGACCTAAATTGTGCCTAGGTTTATTTATACTACACACAGTCATGCTAATTTTGACCACTAAGTCCTCTGATAAGTTCGTAATGTAGTTAGGTCTAGAGACTTGAAATGTGTGATTAATGTTTCGCCGAAGTGGATTTGTCTGGATTTTATATCACAAGTGAAGTTCATCAAAAACTAGGGGGTTCATTATTCTAGCTAAATTTAGCTTAGTCCCCTAGATACTTCTATATACAAACTACTAGCTATGCAACCACAGCCCCAGGATAACACCCCAAATTGTATACAAAATGGGTTTGAATAATTCTCAAATATCCTAATGCCAAAAATCCAGAATTCCAGTTACAGACATTATAAAGCGTCCCCACATTTAAAGGGCAAAGCCTTCATAATTTAGATTGTTGTAAAATAGTTTTAGGCATGAAGATTTCATATTTATAACAGATATCAAATATTTTCACATAAAAGTCTACTCTTTGTGAGAAACAGAATATAGCAAATAGCATTTAGAAATAACAAGTGACGTCTTAAATGGCTAAACTGTTTTGCTTACAAGAATAGCTTAATCCTGAGTGTGGTGAGGGGGTGAGTGCGTATAGGAGCTGCTCTAATAATAAGGATAAAGATTACGCTATACATGACCGAATATAGCTCTGCAGCCTCCCAAATAATTTGGCAGAAAATAGCTAAAATGGGGGATCTATAATAATTAAATGAACTGGAGAGAAAATCATAATGTTATTTGCACTAAGAGGCAATATTTTGGACATAGGCCACGGCTTCTCCTTCCCTCCCCTTTTATTTCTTCCTCCCAAAAGACTTTTAGAAATATATTACCACGTCAATGTCATATTGTATGGAAAACATTTCTAAAACATTGAATTTAGCTAATTAAGGAAAAAAGCATATTTGGATAAAATTAACCTCAAAACACCTATTAGCTACATATTGCACCAACCTCATAAAAATAATTTAGCAAAGGCAAATGTATTCTTATAATATGCCCTATTGAGACACATTTACCTTTCTAATAACTGGATCAAATCTTCATACTTCTGCACCATTCTTTTGCCTTCCACAGAATCCAAGGAACTATCAATAAAATGCATCAGAGTAAACCTTATGACTTGATAATTTGACTGAAATTACATGCCGATATTTTAAATAGTGTCACCTTTTTAGATAATGTTTATATGTAGATGTCATACATTTGGAATACACACACACACACACCTTTCCTGTGAAGAATTCCTCTGCCTGAGACCTGAGCGACACATGATATTAATCATGGCTTGCTCTTCAGAAGAATTTGTTTCTTTTACCAACTGTCAGCATGGGTCCATCCATATCAATCATTACATCACTGTAGTTTGGCCTACAGACTACAGTGATGTATAATAGTCTTCAATTGTCCTGTCTCTCCTTTCTGGTACCAAAGAATATGCATGTTAAGGACCAACCTGAAATAACACTATTTATATATCTATCCCTTTCATAAAGACTACTCCCAAACCTGTATATAATAGCATTCTTCAAAAGATATAACAAGAAATGGAGAGAAAAATGTTCAACACTAGAATATAGTGCCTCTTCATCAGCTTACTTTTCATCAGTGGGGTCTATAAAGCACATTGACACTTCCTGATTCTTCCACTGTGATTGATAATCTTACTATAGATATATTTCAGAATTCAGAAAATGTAGATTCAGTGACAAGGTCCATACATCTTGCTGAGCCACACTGTGATTTACCTGGATTTCATTTAATGTGCAGTGTGAAGACACTCTTTTTAATTGTAAATCATAGTTTATAGCATAGTATATCGTTTGAACCCAGCCAATTAGGATTTATTCTGCATGTCAGGTCTAATGCAAACCATGTTTAAACAAATCACGGTTTAGAATGATGTGAATCCTGTCAGTATACTTTTACTAATAACCATAGCTTTGCCTTGTCCTCACACACCCTAGGTGTGGCAGGAGCATGCTCTAGCAATCATTTTTACTCCATGTCCTAATGCTATTGCCTTCATCTCATCCTCAGCCCACAGCTGAGGCAGTTTGAAGTTGTCCTTAATTGTTCCAGTTAGTTCCTTTATCTGCAGCATAATTTGGCTGTAGACATGACACTTCATTGACAATATGTTTGTGGTTATGGTCAGAGATGGCATCCATCCAACTCCTATTGGCCATTTTAGGCTAGTGTGGCCATGCCACCACCCTTCCAAATGGCTGGGAACTGGCCTCCATGGCGATTTTGACTTGGCCTACAGAACAGCACGGACACCTGGCCCCCACAGAGGCATCTGTCTGCAAAATGCCTGACTTGCACTTTCTGAAGCAATGTGAGGTCTAATATGGTCTCCTTATAAAGACAGGTTTAGCACTTTTTAGAAAGAATACAAGACTAGTTTGTAAATACAGGTTTAACACTCCTTTGAAAGAGTGCTGGAGCTGTCTTTAAAAACAGGAGTAACAAACAATCTCTTGAGAGAGCTAGTCCTATGCTACATAGAAGGTGGATTTAAACTGTGAAAGAGAGTCACGTTCTGCCTGTTTTGTGTTGTTAGCTTTGTCACCACTGCTGAATTTCAGGTTCTCCACTGTTTTACCAACAAAAGATTTTGGGTAGCCATGGCTTTTGCTGTTTTTATTACTTTGGGGAGGTAGTGCCATTTGGTTTACTCCATTCCAGCTCCATAGCAGCTTACAGGCTACTTCTGGGTACTGCTGTCCATGAGGACAGAACAGGACCTGTTGCCACTACTGCTATTCCCTTGCAGTGCTACTTAAGGATAAAGCTCACTCATTCCCTCCCACTTTATCCTATGCCCCTTCTCTGGGCCTAGGCTAGGCTATTTCAGGGCAGAGGCTTAGCACTCATTCAGAAGAGTGCTAGAGTTGTGTTCAGAAGTATCTTGACTGACAGGTCATGGGCGCTGAGTACCTCCAACCTGTGACCTGTTAGTCAGGCGATACAACAGGTGGCTAAACATACCATTCCATGCACCTGCCTACTACCCAGCTCCACCCCACCCAGCCCCACCTCAAGAGAATGAATGGTGGTTCTTTGCCAGCTGGCAGGCAATGCTTGGTAGGAAGGAAGACAAAGCCAGGAGAATTCACCAATCATTAGCTTATCCTGCATTAAAATAAAAAGGGCAGCACCAGTTGTAGGCCTCACTGCTATAGCAGAATACAGCTCAGCAATCAGGGCAGCCAATTTTATGTTGGCATACTTTCCTGCTGGGTGCATTGCCCTTTAACATAGCCATCTGCCTACGCCCTTGCTTATGTAAAGCAAGGTTATAGTCCCTTTTAGGAATTCTATATGAATATGTGAATTCTGCAGGTTGCTCAGTTGCCTAACCACAAACACGAAACAGATTCAATTTATTCCTAGAAACCACTGGATGGTGTCTTCATTAGCCATTTGATTTTCTCAACAATCCACCAGCTACGGAATGCCTGGCTGTGTCTTGTGTGGTCTCACTAGGACAAAATAAGTCAGAATATAACAAGGGAGAGAAACCACAGAGAATTCTTTCCAGCCATTCCACTCTGGGTCATATAACCAGGAAGGAAGCTCTAGCACTTCTTTAAATAATTTTTCTGTTGTTGGCTTCTCCAGTCACACCAAAATTGTTCCCATTCTGTTTTGTTTGGGAGGAGTCACCCTGCTAAACGACAGACAGATGGATAGTCTCAAACCTTTTAGATAATTATTTTTCAAGGTCCCATCAAGTTGGAAAGAATAAAAAGAGTAGACCAAGCCAAAAGCACTTTTTCAAACTTATTTTGTAATGTCAAGTAATTTTGTCAATTTTTTTTCAGTTCTAACGTTCCTCACTGTAAAAACAATGCATGCAGCGCACTGATACAGAAAGTCCGATAAAATAAATACATTTCTATGAAATAAACATACCCACCAGTGACTGAGGTGCCTGAAATTACTAAATGGAATCTGGATCCTGTATTTTAGTTCCTGAGCCCAGCGATCTCCTCCAGCCACCAAAGGCATATTCTTATGCACTGGTGAATAACCTGAGAAACAAAGCTCATTCTGAAACGATAACTCCAAAATTTGCGTGGCCATTAAATTGCAACAAGGCTGAGCAATCTTAGTTGCTGATTCAGTCTTCAGCGGTAGAAAACAACCTTTCGAATATGTGTAAAACTAGGCATCCTGGCCAGTAGGATAGAGGATTCTTATGACAGGGACTATATATCAATCACTGGGAATTGTTGAGGTGGGCAGCCATTGGTCAGAGGCCACAAGGATTTCTAAACACCATTTCTGTAGTCTTTAGAGCTCTCTTTGATCATGCTACCACAGCTTACAGCACGATCATTGAAAATCACTAGTGCGGTTTCCTCCCGCTTTCAGACTCAAAACACACCAAAAGCATAGTGTACACCAGTGTTGTCCAAACTTGGCCACTTTAAGATGAGTGGACTTCAACTCC